CGGGGGAGAGGGGAGCTCCGTGCCGTGTGTTGTGCAGCCTCCCCGCTTGGAGGACTCTGGGGATCTGAAGCCTGTAGCCCACGTCCTTCCGATTCAGTAGCCCACGGTGCTGCTGGGAGCCAGCCCGGGGCCGGGCGGGTGGCTGGGTGCCTCCGTCTATGGGGCCCCGCTGGTGCGGTGAGGGGAGAAGTTGGTTGACCTGGGGACCGCTGGTGGTGCCCTTATGTAACGGTTCAGCTCCCCAAAGTTGTTTAATCCAGGTGCCACTGCTTGCTGTCAGTGGGGTGTTGCGCTGAGCAGCGCTGGGTTGGATCATACCCTTGCCTTTAGGCAGAAACTTTGGTGTCTCTGTGAAGGCGATGAGAAGCCGCATGTTCAGATAGTACTACCAGTGCCCCGGCTGGGCTTGTCTTTAGGTTGTGTCTGTTTGCCGACGTTACAGAGAAGGATCAGAGTGCTCCTTCTTTCTGTAAACTGCCTTCACAGCTGCTAGAGGACAACTGTCTGTAACTGGGAGTTTGCTCTTCGTCAGCGGTATGACCGTGACTGAAATAATAGCTGGTGTCAAGTATGGATGGATGTCAGCTGGGCCAAAGACATTAGAGCGAGATTATATGGAAATGCAATGTACAAGTAATGTCCACGTGAAGCAACATTTGCCTTCTGTATTTTTTTTTTTGTATTTTCTAAATTTCTCCTTTGTCTAGCATGCTATATTGAAAGTGACCATGCAAGGCAGTGACTGGAGTAGTCAAGCACAGCTTTTATTGCAGGGGATTTTTTGTAAGCTGAGGTTTTTCCCAGGTTTAAAAATCCCTTATTTTAGTAGCTATTTTAGCGTAACTGAATGCTAATTGAATTGAGATTCTTAAAGAAGCCATTAACAAACTGGGATGGTTTTCTTATGATGCTTGGCAGAGAGATTGTTTGTTGCTGTTTCATAAAATTGTTAGTATATTGTATTCAGAGTTTAAATACCTAGAGTTTGACTTGCACAGGGAAAAGATAAGCTAGCCATTAGTTCTTGGAGTCATGTTACCTGTAGCTTTTCTCTCATTCTGCAACTATGGCAAAGTAAAACGTTAAGGAACAAATCAAGACGTCCCAGGTGGTCTTCTAATTGTTGAAGCAATTAAAGTACAACAACCTGATAACACTAATAAAGTTGTTTGTATGAATATACTGCTTGTTAGTAATGCATTTATTCAGGTTTTTCTTAATATTGAAGTGCTGAATACATTTCTCTTTCCAGATTTCATAAGGAGAAATTGATGCAGGTTGGACATTGACCTTTTCATCAGAAAGGTTGATCTGTCTTGGAGAAGATAAGTTAGAAGTTTGACATCTCCAGTACAGCTCTGATATCTGTACAAGAACTAAACTAGGTTTGACAATACAGGGAAATACTTTGATAAGCATGTTGGAAATATAAAAGAAATAGCAGCTATTCAATGTTAGATGACTTATTGAACACAAATTATGGTAGGCTAATGCTTTTAGAGTTTCTTGTAGAGTTCAAAGTAGTTAACAGATGAAAAGAAAGCTTAATACTTGTCCATTGTAATAAAAGTTTGATAACTTACAGTACAGTTTGGCTCTGTATTTGTGGACTAAGTTAACTAGTATAGTTCAACTAAAAAAAGGCAAAATACCAGTTGGGTGAATAGCAAAGTACATCTTGCAATATGGAATTTTAAATGTTTAATACGCTGTTCTTATTTTGATGTCTCCAGTTTGAAAAAGAATTAACTGGAAGACCCAGGTGTCAACAACAGTTAAACCATTTTCTGCATGTTCTTAAGAGTGTTCTATCATTACAGATGTGAGAGCACTGAAGACTACACCTGAACCAATTAAAAAAACTGACTGGGGTACTTGAAGCCTGTGTTGCTGTTGTACTAGTGTGCTATGAACTGACTCCACTGATGTGCAGTATTGATGTTTCATGTGTGCTGTCAAACCATTTTATAAATTGTGGTTTGGTACAGATATAGCATAGTTTAATTTTAGAGCACGCCTTCCAAGGAAACATTGAGTTTGCTACCTTATGTGCACAGGGAGCTAACTGCTCCAGTTTTGAAAAAGTTGTGAGAAGGGGATGGATAATTTTGTTTGCTCGCTCCTGTTGCTAAAAATTATTTTTTCTCTTAGTAATTTCTTAGAGCAGTTCCAGTTCTTGGGGAGGGTTTATTTCTGGAACTTCATAATGTTCTAAGTAAACTTTACTGCATTTTGAAAGATGTTCTTAGAATTGAAATTTTATCAGAGACATCTGGCAAAGGTGTCACCCTCCGTTAGTTTGCCACCTAAGTTAAATAAAAAGACTGCAGCTTTATATTTTTGCCTGGAGATTTGATGCTGAGTGTAACTATTTCATGTTTATTTGGAACATTTTCCCCTGCAAAAGCATTTTCAGTTTTGCATAGATGGTAAAAATATTTTTGTAAGCAGTGCATAGCTTCATAAGGTGGTCATCAAAATAGTTTCTTGCTCTTTTATCTTCTGAGTCCAAAGAAAATGCCTGAGATCTTTTCTACTGCTTTCAGCTTAATAAATTATTGCTCTTCACATAAAATTTATCCTGTTTATACACTTTAATAATATTTGAGACAAATCTTCAGAGCTATCGTTTTGCCTTTTTGTATTATAGTGAAATAGACTGCTGTTTGTTTTGTGGCATGGCGTTATCTGTAAAGGCTGAAAAATTAATATCTGCCTATATGTCACCAATAAGAAAATTTTAAATTGTTAATTAAATCATTATCAATTGAAATGCATGGGAGTTTTGTTTCTGCAAGTATCAATAATAGTACAAATATCAATAATAATATGTTTTGTCTTCTGACTTTGAAGTTGGCATTCATGTGGGCTGAGAGCTTTCTTGGCTCTGTGGAAAACCGGTAATTTCACGTAGCCTCTTTCGTAGCTGTTTACCCAGGTTTTAAGTTAGATAACATTAACAGAGGCGAACTAACAGCATGTAAGACCTCAGGTAAAGTAACTTAAATGAGTTTTACCTCATTGTCATATCTACTGTGCAGAATTGTGACACCCTGTTTAGCGCCTCAGGAAAAGTAGGATATACATAAGGTGAATTTTCTACTTAAATCCTTTATTGCCATACCCTCACCTTTTTATTCTTGTGGCAGGTTGGGGGAAATCCATTTGCCTGGCCTCCTTTATGCTTCATAAAAGAGCAGAAGCCTACAATTTGGTTTATAGTGACTCTTTTACATCAAGCTTAGTTATATAAGGGTATCTGTTTTGTAAAGTAGAGTGGAATGATTTATCATGCATAAAACAGATTACATGATTCCATAATCTCATCTGTGTGAAATCTGTGGAGAAAAAAAAGCCACAAAATATTTCTCATCTCCTTTTGCACATAACCTTTTAATAGTTAGAAGTTCTAAGCCTGTGCAAGATATAAGGTGTGTGGGCTTTCCTCGTCTATATGCTTTTTTAGGCCATCATGTATATCGATGAATTTCCTGTCTGGCTGAAGAATAGCAGTAAACAGCAGTGTTTGGTTCCATTCCCTTAGATACGGTCTAAAGCCTTTCAGACATGTTTGTAGTTGTTTAAGAAGCTATGCTTAGGAGTAGTTAGTTTAGATTCAGTGAAATTTATCACACAAATGTTCCTAGAATCACACGTTCAGTGTTTCCCCCTTTCACTGTCAGGGTCTCAGCAGAAGTGTTGCCGTACCTTAGTCTGCTGAGTTATCTGGGCCTGTCCTCTCTGCTATTTGCACAGTCTTCCCTTCTCGGCGGGCAGCAGCACTTCTGCACTTGAGAGCACTCCTTTTTTGTAGAGGTGTCTTATGCTAGTGCAGTGCCTTGAACCAGCTTTCTGTCCTGGCACAGGACAAGGGAGGGGACCTGGAAAGTTCAGACTTAGTTTCACAGTAGATTTATAGCCTTACAATATTGGTCCCTGCACCTGGTTTTCTTAGTATTTATTTGTAGAATTTAACTGTGAAGTTACTAACTTCTTGTGCACGGAAGTACCTATTCCCCTTTCTCCAGTGCCTCTAAAGAAACTAGCTGGAGTGTTCTTACACCTTGAGAAGAATTATAAGATGACAATGCATGATTGTGGGGTTTTTTAGGTAGTTCAGCTAATGAACATTTGATAAGAGAATACTTGGTAAGCTACTCTGACGTTCTAATATACCGTGTGTTTGTAGTTTGGAAAATCTTGCTGCGCATTCTGCAGAAAGTTCTATATGCTGAATCTGTCTACAGAGTTCAGGGCTAAAAGTGCTAATCTGGCTAACATTGATTCAGCATTACATTTGGAGATGGACTTAAGATCAAAAAAAAGTCCTAAGGTCTGTTATTTTCTAATTCTGAGTGTGTAAGGTATATTGTATTTTAATGATGAGAAATAAATTATTTGCTATGGAACTGCATTTCACTATTATTTCTTTTGATTGCCATCTTTTTCTCTTTAGAGCATTTTTCTGTAGTTAATATTGCATTTCTTGATTAAAAATATTTTTAATTTATTTTTTTTAATAGCTCACAGGAGTCCTAGATGATTGTTTATGTGACATAGAAAGCATTGATGACTTCAATACTTTCAAGATTTTCCCCAAAATACAGAAACTGCAAGAACGTGATTACTTCAGATATTACAAGGTACAATTAGAATGGTGTTTTCCTGAATAATTTATATAAAATCCAGAAAATATAGGGAGGATTAGATATCAAATCAACTTGTCTGTATGAAGTTGTCTTTTAGAATCCAACAGCTCTTTAACTTGGTGGTAGCAGGTTTTCAGTCCCTGACAGTTATGTTGGTAATAAATCATGTTTGCTGTGTTAATGTGTCATGTTTGCTGGAGTCAGTCACAGCAAATCATGACTATTTTAATTCAACTGATAAGTGGTAATTTTAAAGGTAGTATCTTTGTACTGCTGCATCTAGAAAAGGATTGTATATTAGCAGCTTTCTGACAGCATGCAGTACTTGTCTTCTAAGAAATGTGCATAATTTGAAATGAATTTGTTGCAATGATTTCCTTTTCTTATGCGTTGCTGTCTTAGTTCTGATTTTTAGTGTTTGCTATTTAGAGAACTGTTATTCCTTTGAAAAATAGGTAAAAACAGTCAACTTTCAAGTAGTATGTAATTTTACTTTTTATGACTTTAAACATTTTTTTTCCTCTGTATTAGAATCTGATGAGCAAGATAAGACTTTGAAGCCTGATGCTTCTTTTTTCAGATGTGCTTAACTTGAAAATAGGGTTGCGTTTTGACTGAGCTAATCAGATGGTTGCCTGCCACTGAAAAAGGAGGTTCCACTCCTTTAGGGCAGACGGTCCTGCCCCTTCCCTGCTTCTAGCTCTTGGGCTTGTATGATTGTGCATTAGGCCAATGCATCTCTCTAACCTGGTAGATTTTTAGTTTGGATTTTTGGGTTTGGTTGTTGGTTTTGTGTTGTGGGGTTTTGTTTGTGTGTTTGTTTGTTTGTTTTCCTCAGGTTGTAGCAAGTTATCCAGCTGATCTGGAAACAGACAAGTATTAAACTCATGCAAGATGGGGTTATGAATGTGAGGAAGGAGATAAAGCACTAGAATCTTCCCTTTCTAGTCTGAGCAAGCAATAATGTGTAACTTCACCCTGAATCTCCTCCTGCTACATGATACTGTTCTAACTTCACTGTTCAGGAGAAACAAAATATGTGCACCTTCCGTGATAATACATCACGTAGTAGTGGTAATTAGATTCTCCAGAGGCAACAGAAAGATACAAAACAAAGAGTTTGAAGAAGAGGAGCAACAGTTATACAAGGTTTTATACAACAGTAATTTCATCTTGCAAATTTAGACCTAATCTTCATTTCAACAGCAGTTTTACAGGTCATGTTTTAATGGTGTTTTGTAATCCTACCTCATCTTTCATGTTGATGTTCCTAATAGGTGGGCAATTACAAGGGCTAGTGTACAGTCCACCTGTCACCACGTATTATTTAGTGCTTCCAGTTGTGACAGGGAATAATTTGTGTTGAACAAGCAAACTGAGTAAGTTGGAATGTTTTTTCACACTTTCCCATATGAATAAGCAACAGAGTTTTTTTGATGGCCCTGCACAGAATCATGTAAATGCTATTAAGCACATAGATGGATGTGGAAATTGGATGTGGAAATTGTGAGGGTAGGCAATGACCGTCTAGGTCAACTACAGTGTAGCTAAATACTGAATAAGCATAGGGGGAGTATACTTGTGCTGGGAGTGAAAACACTCCTACTCTGAAGTAATTTAATGTGTAATAGGAATTTGGATCATGAACTTCTGTAGATACAGGCACAGTATTCCCATTGTGGTACTAGTTCAACAGCCACAAAAGAACTCAAACTTTAATGTATAATACTGAATGGACTAGCTAGTTTTTTATTTAAAGGCCTAAGAAAACTTTATTTTGAAAATGTTGCTGAAGTTGTGTTAAGTGGTTTCTAGACAGTGGAATGCTTCTCAGTGAAAGAAATAAAGGAATAAAGTTTTTTGTCTCTGTGTGTTCGTATACATCAAAACACACAAACTGTGGAAGCCTCATGATGAGGAGTCTAACTGTAAATCTGTGACAAGTATTGAATAATACTCTAAATTATAATAATGAAATCTAGTACTTCAGACCCTGAAGAAAGTAGAAGGGTGTTCTATGTAGTCAGCACATGATTGATATTGATTAAAGTACAAGTGGTATACAGCCTCTGTTTATTTCACAAGTGTGTGCACGCACTGATTCTTAGTGCTCTTGAATTATTCTGGGCTTAGTGTGTCTTGATTTGCAGTTCTTTTTGAATTCATCTGCAGTTTAGACAGCAGTATTCTTTTATCTACAGTGTGTAAGAACAGCAACTGCCTAATTACTTATATCTTCTTAAGTGTGTTAGCGTTCTTTATTCGAGTTTACTTTGAAGAAGGTTGTAGTCTAACTGTGTTAGCTAATCTTTCTTTTGGTAGAAATTGGTGGGAGGGGCATGTATATAATAGCTCTTACTGTGAAGGTGGTGTAAAATGTAAGACTTGTTTGTGCTTTATGTAAAAAGATGAGTGAACAAGTCCAAAAGATTCTAAAACTTTACATATTTTTTTCTAGGGATGGTGTTTGTGGATTGAATAGAGGAAATGGGGTGGGAAAAGCAACCTAAAATCTCTGCTTTTAGTGTATCTGTGCTAGCATGGCTTGAACTGTAGCTTGAAGGTAGTTGTCATCACTCCTAAGAAGTTGTACCATCTGCTTAATGTCTTGCTAGGTTTTTTTAACTGAGGAATCTCTAACATTTTAAAGCTGAGTTTATAATTCATAGTCGTGCTGAATAACTACATCAAATTGGAAACCTGGAAAACAGTCTTTCTTTCAGATGTTACATAGCAGTTAACTTCATGTGCATATTTTAAAAATACAGAAAGAACTTGTTGAAAGGTTGGGTAGAGGAATTTAGTATAATGAAGGCCAGTTGAGCAAGTCAAATGTCAGGTTGTGTTCTTTGGGGATCTGTTGTGGTATTGATAGAACATTTGAAGAGGGAGTTCTTTTTCTTTTGCTTTAAGTTGGGTACATAGTGCCACAGAAGAATTTACCCTTCAAGCATTAAAGGTTGTTTCTTTATTTCCGGTACATAGTTTTGATTTTTCTTAGCTGTCAAAATTAAGCTAATAGACTGGAGGGAGAGTAAAGTCTGGCTATAATTCATCGCAGATTCTTCGTATTGCGCCTGGTTTGTATCAGAGGCATATTGATGTAGTTTTGCTTATGCTTCGTATATTATGTATAATGCTGGCCAAAAAAAATTGAATTAGATTTTTTTTTTTTACATTGCTGGGGCTCTGGTTTGACAATTCAGTGAAGGTAGCCATTGGTCTTCTACTACTGTATTCCCCCAAAAAACAGGTCACTTAGAGCAAGTCTTAGAGCTGATCTAGTGTAAATGTACTCTGACAGTGAAATGTGTTCAAAGCATAAAGGTGTTTTTTAATGGAATAATTGTTCAAGACAGATCAGCAATTTCAGCTTTTCTCCAAATTAAGGTTGATTAGTGTGTTTCTTTTATCATAGCAGGAACCCTTCAGGTACCACATGCAGTGGACTCCAAGTTTGTCAGAGGATGGGTTTCATGTTCAGTTGCGAATTCTGTGCCTAAGGGTCTGCTCTGGCCCTTCTGTACTAGATGTTTAAGCTTTGTTTCCTGTCTATGTTTCTCCTTATGTAAAGTGAAACTACAGGGTATAAATCATTAGCAAGATGTTCCTACATATAAGGGGAAAACACGTTTTTCTGAAGACTAAGTTGATGAAGTGTTTTGTCTCAATCTTTTAACCTGTTAGGTATAGCAAGAATACTGTTCTTTATAGTATGTTCTTATTAACTTAATGTATAGCTTGTATGTATTTTTTTTCCATAAGCTAGCATAAGGATTAGTTTTCTGACTTAATATTTATAGATTGAAATAATGTTTATAAGCACTTTTATAATTCTTAATTTTTTTGTGTTGAAACTGCTCTAGGGCCTGATGCCATCCTTGGGGTATCAGGTTTAATTTTACATTGTGTTTTCTAGAACTCCTGCTGTGTCTGACTACAGAGTCAAATTCAATACCTGCAGCAGTTTCAAACAAGAAGTCATAGATCAATCGTTCAAGATGTATTTTTTTGGATATAAGTAGTGTCTTCAGTTGAATATCTTAATGAATAGTATTTATCAACTGAAGAAAACTAGTGCAAGCTGTGCTAAAGGAAAACAAAGTAAAAGAATAAACATAGTTTTTGTTGTGGGTTGTTTTTTTAATTACTTTGAAAGGTTAAAAACTATCTTATCTGGAAAACAGTGGTTGCTGCCTGCTGAGGATAAATGCTTTGTATTTTATTTGTAATGTTAAATTTCAAAGATGCTGTACTTCTTCAGTGTTTCTAGTTGATCATGCAAGAAAACCTTTAGTCTGTAGTCTTCAGTTTTGAAGTGATGAGGTCAAAGTGTTTTTTGTCACTAATGTTTGTTAGTAGATATAAGGCTAATGTAAATGAAAACTGTGATTTTATTTTTGTTTTATGGTCAAAGTGTTTTTTGTCACTAATGTTTGCTAGTAGATATAAGGCTAATGTAAACGAAAACTGTGATTTTATTTTTGTTTTAGTTTTCTTTGCTGACTTTCACATTGACAGTCAAAGTGAAATGTAGTAAAGTGTTTGAATCTCTTGCTATGTATTAGATCCTAGTATATGTGGTACTCCCTGCCTTTACTGTGCCATTTGATGACAAATAGGAGCTGGTAATTACAGGATTTGCTGGTAATGTTTCTGAAGTGGTTTATCTTCGTTATTTATATTTGTACTATATCAGCTCTCTGATTTGAGGCCATTATGATATCTTCCTTGACTAGCTTAGATGTGTAGTAATGAGTGCCCGTTTTTATTACTTGAAATGTGAAATCACCTGAGCACTTATTTGAATCAGTAAACTTGTGCACTAGTCTGTCCTTTATCAAATGTCTTTTCTTGATCAGTGTAGTACAAATACAACTGATTGTAAGTACAACCATTTTAGAGCTGCATAGATGTCTGATTTGCCTTCTTTTTAGTAGTTTATTTACTGTTTTGAAGTTGTATTAGTGGTGAGAAATTAACTTTGTGCTTTAATATTCTATGTGTTTGTGTCCACTGGAGACCAGTATCACTAGCAATTCCACTGCAGCAAGCTTCAGCTTATATACTCAGAGGGAAAGTAGTTAAAGAAACCAACCAACCAAACAAACCCGCACAAAACCCCCCAGGTGTAAAGTAATAAATTTAACCCTTTTTCCTCGTATCCTCTCCTTTAGTTTGTAAGGTTTTCCTGATACTGAGAGTGCTCTGTTTTAAAGTTGCCTTATGTGAGTGTTGGTTGTAAACTTCTGGTTTTGTGTGTTTAGGTCAACCTGAAGAGACCGTGCCCATTCTGGGCTGATGATGGCCATTGTTCTATCAAAGATTGTCATGTAGAGCCTTGTCCAGAGGTATGGATAAAATGATATAAAATAGAAAAATATTGTTTGGTTAAAAAGTTTGCTAATTTGAAGTGACTAATACTATGCTAACAATATTTACTAATGAGAACTTAAAAGAATTAGAATAAAATTATTTTCCATTACAAAAGCAGAAATACAACTGAAGTATTTTAAGGTCTTAGTCATTTTACCAAGAAAAGAAATAACTTTAAGTCTTTTGTAAGGTCTAGCCCTGTTTTGGATATAACATGTTGAGAAGGTAAAGGAGCAAGTTAATTATTTAAAAACAAATTTGTTTGACCCCTGTAGGAATGATATTTAAATAAAAACTGTGATTTATTTTTGTGTTTTTTAGAGCAAGATACCTGTTGGAATTAAAGCTGGGAGTTCTAATAAAGTAAGTAGTAATTTATTTCCTAAGTTCTTTCTGTTTTCTTTTAAATTTTAACGTTACAGTAGCAGTGTGGCTTTTTATTACAAATGTTCTGTTTTGGCATAGTGATGAAATTGTTAACATAACTGATCAGTCCCTGTATGTGGATTTACTGTCATGTCATTGTGAGTCTGCCATTGATTGAGAGCTGGTGCAGACTGAATCAATGAGTGACCAGGGACAGCAGTACATGGCTACAGAATGGCTGATGCAAAATTCTTTGTTCACTCCTAAGTACAGGCCACATTCTTTAAAGCCGTAGGCTAAGATGCACAGGTGCAGTAGCAATGCAGTCTTTTGTAAGAATCATGTATAACCACAACATCTAATATTAAAAGTACCTGAACAATTACATGTAGTTTTGCCATGTCTAATCTTGAGCAGGTCATCAGTCTAAAGATGGTTTGGTCATTAGTCTAAAGAAAATTTAGGCTAAAGTGGTAAGTGCAAGCTTAAGTAGTCAGTCTGTGCTGTTGGCTTTTGCTTGCTTCTCTCCAAGCTGTCCTTCCTAGATCACCAAGTGATCTTAGCAAAGCCAAAAAAACAAAGAGGGTATGTGTGCCTAGAAAAGCGGTCAGAGCAGAAAGGCAAACAACCCTCCCCAACACCCAAATCACAAATATAGTGCCCAAGAATAAGGATTTAGCAGTTGATGGGTTAATGGTGCCCAAATGAGAGATCTCCCCATTGAGTGCCATGGCTGTGTTGTAGACTTGTACTTACTCTTGCTGGACTATGATATCTCCATCCTCCTCAGTACTTTCCACCTCACTGGGCAGCCAAAGTTGCTGTTTGTCTCACCTGGGTGTAGTTCACCCTATGATAAATGACCATTGGCATTAGGTTTAGACTTTAGGCCAAGAAAGATTACCAAAGATAGCTGAGAGGAATACTTCATCATGAAGTAATGACTTCTGTGTCCTGCTGTTGTGAACAGCGCAGGCAAGTCTGTCCAAGCTTTAGCTCAAGAGGTAGTCTAGTCTCCTGTTTATACACATATTGGTAAGCTCACTCCGAAGTAAAGTGTGCCTCTTTATTTAAAGGTTTCTGGTGATCAGAGGAGAGACATCTTTCTCACTGACTTGACTTAAATGGCAATCATTCACCATTTCAGCATAAGCAGCAGTAGTTATTCTGGGAAAGTTTTGGCACTATCTCTGGATCTTGAGTTTTAGCTGGATAATCTGTTGCCAGTTCTCTTTTTAATTGACTTTGTTCTCTTCCAAGCTTGCTTGTAGAGAAATGACTCCTGAAATACTGTAATGCCTCCTAAAGAGTAATTTTAAGGCTTTAAGGACTCTTTTAGAAGTGATTCTTCTAGTTGGAATTTGAGCTTCCTGATTGATTACTGAGAGCCATAAGTAATATATTAATTAGTAGCCAAAGAGTGTGCTGTTATTAAGATACTTCACATGATCATATTGAATTGGACTTCGGAAGTGAAAGGTCAGCTACCTTTTGCTTTCACCACGATTAAGAATCTAGGATACTACAATTTGCTAGTATATTTACTACAGCTGTTTCCTTTGAATTGCCTTGTGAGTTGTTGCAATCTGCTACGATACTAAAAGTTGGGCAGTTCTGCACCTTTAATCTGTAGTACAACAAAGACAGTAATATCTGCTGCTTCTCTGTCAGAAAACTAAACATTTATGCAGGAAAATTGTCATCAGGACTGACATAAATCCTAAGTACACCATTTTCATACTTCTTATGATTCAGTTAAAGATCTCTCTTGGACCCAATTAAAAATTGACAATCTCATTTAATATCCCTTTTAAGGAAACCTCAAGCTCATCTCAGCATGAATGTTTTGTTTCAAGGACTATGCAAGTACTGTGCTATTAGCCTGTGCTTGGTCCATTTGGGAAAGTCGTGCATCTTGTGGATTATCTTTAAAGTATTGGTTTTAAAAAAAAAAAAAAAAGGTGTTTTACCTCTGAAGGTATAGTTGTCCAGTTTCTCTCTTCCATCCTGATAGTGTCTGCCTTGGAAAGCTGAAAACAACCAAATACATCTTTTTAATAATGAAAGCTTTAATCTCTTAAGTAGATATACTCAGGACAGTATACTTGTGGAAAAGTTTTTATGGTCTAAGTGCTTGGTTTCTATTGCCCTTCTCTCCTAATTTAGATGACCTTGTAAAGGTCTAGCTTTATTTAGGCTTTAGTGCAGGATTTTTGTGTTTGTTCGTTGAAACATAGAGAGAGCAGTTCTTTTGAACGCTCATCTAGCTACAAAGACCAGGGTTACGCTTGCACAGCTTCCCCTAAGTGCAGTTAGCAATAGAGGATCTCTTCTTAATTCTTGGCATCAACATAAGGTTTTTGAAATGGTGCTGGAGAGGCACAAAGTAGTTCCCTTTCTGTTTCATTTGACTGGTGAACACATTTTGTGGGGCTAGACATTAAAGAACTGTCATGACAGCTGCTGTATTAATCTTTGAAGCAAGGGACAGGATGCAGTAACTCAAGGTTACAACATTTAACTTAATATTTTACTTTCTGCCATCTCTTCTCTGTTTTCTTCCAGAAACTGCTCGTATGAGATCTTGCTTTGGCAGGAACAGATACTTTGTCCTTATCTAGTCAGTGGTCACAGAGCACTGATCTGATAGCTGTTGCTGTTAAACACTGGAGCCTGGAAACGTTTTGAGAGTTGTATGTTCATTCTGTTTGGAACCTTAAATTTAGGATTATATTCTTGGCAGTAATTTTTTCACTTCAGGGTAGGGATTGGTTTGCAGCTCTAGACATGCAGAATGTTTACTTCAGCGTCGCAGTATGTTATTTCATCAGCAGTATCTGTTTCATTCTAGGTCAGATCTATTCCTTGTTCAGATTTTTTAATTTAACATACATATGATGCTAAAGAATGAGCTCCACACCTGGAAAATCCAAGGAAATTGAGTGAGAGTAATTCCTTGTTATGGGCAATGCTCCTAACAAGATTTAAATTATTTGGGTTTTTTAATCTCCTTCACTTCTTTGGTCTTCAGTAGATTCTGCTGTTTTTCCTTGTGTTGGTTCTGACAGATGTATTTTTAAAGCAAGTTGTCTTGCTTACTCATATGAACAGTTTTAATTAAATCCTTTCTTTTTTGAGAAGTATTGTGGTATGTATTGTGGTGGTACTTTGCCTCTGTCTTTGCCAGCGTATCTGGACCCCAGATCCCAGGATCAAGTAGCTACAACAACACACAGGCGGACGCAGCAGTAGCAGGGGAAGGGCTGGCCTGCGGCCTCTTGCAAGGGCTCAACCCACATGAATCTATGGGCCCGAACAGAATCCACCTCAGGGTGTTAAGAGAAGTGCTGACATTGTTGCAAGACAACTGTCTATAATCTTTGAAAAATCGTGGACATCAGGGGATATCCCTGCTGACTGGAAGAAGGCAAATGTCACACCCGTCTGTGAGGGCCCAAAAGAGGATCCAGGAAACTCCAGGCCCATTTGTCTCACTTCAGTCCCTAGCAAAGTAGCGGAACAAGTCCTCCTAGAAACTATTACAAACCAAATAAAGCAGGTGATTAGAAAAAAACAATGTGGATTTACCAAAGGCAAGTCATGCCATACTAACCATAACAAAAGAGATATGGACAGACTGGAGATAGTCCAAAGGGGGGCCACGAAGATGATCAAAGGCTGGAGAACCTGCCCTGTGAGGAAAGACTGAAGGAGTTAGGTCTTCTCTTCCTGGGGACCTCATCACAGTATTCCAGTACTTAAAGGGCAGCTGCAAAGAGGACAGAGGCTCCCTCTTCACAGGGAGACAAATGGAGAAGACATGGGGCAATGGGTGCAGGTTGCAACAGGAGGGGCTTCATCTTGATATAAGAAATTTTTTACAGTAAGAACAATTAATTACTGGAACAACCGCCCAAGGATGTGGTAGAGTCTCTGTCACTGGAGGTTTTCAAGATGTGACTGGACAGGGTGCTAGCTAATCTCTTCTAGACTTCCTTTCCCACAAAAGGTTGGACCAGGTGATCTTTCGAGGTCCCTTACAGCCTGGGCTGTTCTATGATTCTGTGATGTGCATGCATTGCAGCTAAGAAACCATGCAACTTCTCTAAATGCATGCAGGAAATAACAGGAGTTTGGCGTCTTGACCACAAGTCAGTCCTCAGAAATGAACTATTCTCTTTCTTTTAAAATTTGTCAAATTATTGCTGTTGTTTACTATTTCAGAAGGGTTGACCAAAGCCTTTAGCTTACATTTCTATTCTGAGCAGGTTTTGGGTAGTAATCCTTCATGTCATTATGTATGTGCCCTGGCCTGAAAGGAAGCCAGCAGTTTAGCTTTATATAAGCTATCAGTTGCTTAATGTTAAATCATTTTCTGTATTTCTTAAGGACTGTGATAAGGTAGAAATCTGTGTAAACCTAAGGCTCACTCTGCAAAAGAAAACACACACATACACACACCCCAAAAAAGAGGAAATTGAGTTTATCTTTTAAGAGAGCTCTGATGCTATCTATTATGTTCCAAAACTGTTAGAAGGGTTTTTTGAGCTGTAAGCTGACAGACTTAACAAATCCCCTGCTGACATAACCATGTTATTGTAGAATAATGGAATCTTTAATTCTCCAAATGTTTTCCTTAGAAGTGTTCTATTAGTAATAGCATATTTTAGTGGATTACTTTTTTTAAAAAATACTGTAGAATCAGATTTCAGCTTAAATGCCTCACTTCTGGCTTTAAAATAATCAAAATTTGAGCTCAGCTTGAAAAGCCTCTCTTCCAGACCTATGCATGTCTAAAGCATACTAATGAATAGAATTAAATGAAATGGGAAAATGGCCAAATTTTTTTTCTGCTGAAATGACCAATGAAACTTGGGGTATAATTATTCTTGCAAAATGCAAGGTATGGTTATAGGTGTGACACTGCTTGACTTCCAATGTTCTTTTACAACAATGTAACTAAGTATCTGAAACGCTTTAGAACACCATTTTATTAAAAAAAAAAAAATAGGCAAAATAAATTTTTGACATATTTAGCTGAATTTTCTGTCGCAGTTAAATCCACAGAGTGAAATTGGTGTGATGAAATTAAGTGAAGAAAAATAGAAATAAGAAATGGTCCTGAGGATTTTTCTCTGATACTAGCCAATTCACTGCTAAACCTAGAATTAGCTTTCATGGCTCCTCTTCTCAGCAGATTTTAGGTAATTTATTTGAATATTAAATATTAACTTTCTTGCAGTATTCAAAAGTGGCAAATAATTCCAAAGAATTGGAAGACTGTGAGCAAGCTAACAAACTGGGAGCAGTTAACAGTACCTTAAGGTATGCTGTGATTTACAATAGTACAAAAATAGTAACAAAGGAGCATTTCATTTTGTCTGTCTTGTTTTTGCAATGTGCTGGTTTTTGTTCTTCATTCTTTCCGTCACCCATTAGAAAGCAAATGTGAAATGATGCAAGAACATCTGAAGGTAAAGGTGTTAAGTGATTTGAGTAGACTTTTTTTTTCTAACACACTTTGATATGTTTTGAAAGAAGTACCTTACAGCATCAAGAGTTGGAGGAAATTTGCAAATAAACCCACCCTTTTTCTCTGTTTTACCAGTATCAGTCTTTGTTCTTGATGACTGTGCTGGATTAAGGGATTTGGTCCTGCTCTGTCCCCCTGTGATGCTGATTTGCCTGTTTGTGATCATTCAGTGAACCAGATCAGGGAGCCTGCTAGTTACTTTTGTTGTTGGCAAAGTTATTTTTAGCTTGGATCAATTCCCTGATCTTGCTTGTTGCATGGCACAGTCAAATTTGAGTGGGAGGAAGTGTGTGGAACGCTACTTAGAAAAACTTGCATTCTACTAGATGCCCCCCATTTAAAAAGTAGAAATAGAAAAACCAGTTCTTCACTGTTGATGGAGAGGTGTGCTGTCTTTGACCATAGATTGGAGTAGCTCTACCTGATAGAGATGTTGAAAGACTTTCCTGTCATCTGACAAAATGGGATTGCCATGAAAAAGCGACTGCTTCTGCCTGGTGTGTGTTTTAAACCAAACTGGGTAGAGAGCCCTTATCCAAAGTTTTTTAGAGGAAATAAGAAACTATTAACTCTTCCATTGCTGTAGGGCAAAAGAATATGAGATTGAGTACACATATGGAGAGCTAAAGAGAATGCCTTTTGTGAGAGCAGGATAGATGATTAAAGTTGGGAGAGGGCAGGTAACGGATCCTATAAGTGCAGGAAGAGTTTCTGCTTTCAAGGCAAAACCCCATGTTCTCTACCTAGCAGTGCATCACCCCTATGGTTTTGGGTTATTTTCCTTTATCATCTGTATTTCTTGTGATTATCAAATCTTGCCTGCTAGTAATTACTGGAGAAGTTCCTTGTCTAATGCCAAGTGTAAAGTCTCCTTTAAAGTAAAGTGATTTGGCACAAGATTAGAAATGTATCTTGTTATAGAATTTCCTCTGTTTGTAGAATTGAGCTAGTACTAATTTAATCAAACAGAATAGGTTGCATTTGTTATTTCAAGGTGCTTCACTGCACCCTGGAGCACAATTCCCAGTCTTAACTTTGCTTATGTTTTGCTGTCAGTAGTGTGGCATCAGTAGTTCTGTGCTGCACACATGCATAGAAGAAAGCATTCAGCTTTTGGCACTTTTTGTGTTTCATAGTGTGGGAACTTCAAAGTATTTGTCTCTCTGGTACAATACACCTTTGAAAATGCTAGGGTGAGTGGAATACCATTATTATTTAAAAGGCTTAAGACAAATAATATTCATAGAGTAATTTACCTTGGAAGGGATGTTTAGACATCCAGTCTCCCTATGAAAGTATTTTATCAAGCTCTTACTGAAGAAATAGAAGTCGCTGCGGGTGCACAGTTTGTTCAAATAATGATGGTGAAATCTTTCTTGCTGTCTGACATTAAAATTACTTTTTAAAGTATTGCATTTGATACCTGCTTGAATCTCTGCACAGTTAACAAGCAGTAACTCCATATATTCTTGAGTGTCAGATATAGTAATTCAGAATTCAGTTCCAAGGTAACTACTATATGTGGATTGTGGTTTTTTTGGTAGTTTTATTGATGTTGTTTATTTAGAAGTTTAAAATCAAATGTATTTTCTTCCCCTCAGTAACCAAAGTAAGGAGGCTTTCATTGACTGGGCAAGATACGATGATTCACAGGATCATTTTTGTGAACTTGATGGTAAAATGTTTTAAGCTTTTTCAGAATGTTTGTTTTATTTACTGTTTCTTGAAAAACACAAAAGATTGTAGTTTCTCTGCAAATAACAACTTTTTAAAAAAAGTTAATTTTGTGCTAAATGGAGATGTGACAGTTCATAGCATTACATTGCAAATAATGCAATTTTTGCAAGGAGCATGTGGTAGTCTACACAGCGCACATTCATTGTTACCCCCTCTTAGTGTAGTGGACAGAAGACTTTTAAAGAAGGTACATGGGAGGAATTTAGCATATATTTTTTAAAAAGCCACTTCTCACAGGAAAGTCACATCTAGCACATATATTAGACAAATTACTTGCACCTGATTCAGTTTCTTACTACTATATTATTTTTGTTGCTATTCTACTGTCTATGTTTGGGCTGAGTTTGTTCCTCTAAGCAGTCTGTGCTTAACCCACGACACAGCCTTGCTATGTTTCCAAATGATCTCTGCACTAAATTCACCCTTGTTTGTAAAGACTTTCTTATTGTTAAAACATTAGGATACTAGATTGTGTCTTTTCCCTGCTCCACAGATGAGTCCTTTTATTTGCTTGTAACATTGAGCTCAAAAGAATGTTTTTCAGATAACCATGAGAATTGTCAAGTTCAGGAATGACTGCTAAAGGCCTTTTTAATAAATACCTTGGAAAGTGTTCTATGCTAGGAAGACTAGGTCATAATGCAAGATGTTTTAACCTACCTTTAGGCTAATGTTTGCTGTCACCTGAGAAAGTAGCAGCTGTAGTGGACTTACCAACTGCAGTTCTCTGTCAGCACTTCTGCTGCATCTCATCTGTGAAATTTTCCATATAAGCACTTTCTGTAAATACTCAAAGAGCATATCTGTAGATCTGAACCGTTACATACAGTAAGCTGCTGTTATCTTTACCATCTTCAAGCTGCCTACTTAATTAAGAGGACTCAGTTGAGAAAGGTATAGTTTAGAAGCATTTCTTTCAGAAGTAATACTAACTTGAGTAGTTCCTGATTCTACCTCCATCTCTCCTTACATCATGCCCTGCTGAAGGAGGATGTACTGCCCCCAGCTGTGTTCTTCCAGTGCTTTTTCTGCTCTGGTGTGCATCATTCTGCATGGTAAGCTGATTGAGCTTACTTGAGTAGCAGGAAAGTAAGTTGACATCTCCCTCCCATCTCATAGATTGTTGGTATGAACTGACTTATCAGGTGAGTTTGTGAGCTGGAGCAGGGAGAGGTGAGAGAGCATAACTTTGCTTGGGGAAGGTAGAAACTCTTGTTTTCTTCCTTTCCTCTCTTCCTGGTGGTGAGAGAGCTCTTAGTTCACTCACATGTAGCACAAAGCCATATGATCAGTTTTACTTTTCACTAGCTTTTTGTTGAGCTTAATGATAAACTAGATAAGGGAATTGATCTAGCTGAAAAAAACTTCAAAACCCAGGTCAGCTTTCCATCCTTCTGTTGCACTGCTCCACAGACTTGGTTGTGTGTGGATAATGAGAAGAAAAAGTGGAGACTGAAGAGAAAAGGAAGTGTAGGAACTGCTTAGGTTAGCCATGCTGTCAAAGAAAGAAATAAAGTTGTAATTTTACTTTGTCCCATCTGGCACTCACTGTGTTGTGTGTCTTGTGTCTGTCTCTTTTCTTTGTTTTTGCTACTGCTGCTGAAGCGATGCTTAACTGCTCGTGCAGAATCATCTCTTCTTTTTAGAGCAGTTTTCACTCTCTGTTTCTGTGGCTTTTTTTGACGTCTGAGGAAATACTTGGTGGCACTGCTTGGCCTATTCCTATATATAAGTCTCTGGACTACTGGCTTATATTGTATGTGGGTTTTCTTAAGCAAGCCTTGCTCTTCACCTAGAATTTCAAAGAGGGAATTCTTCCTGCTTTTTACTGATTGTAGCTTAAAACTCAAGTTTCTATTCGTACAGAGTTTTCAAGTAAAGTACTCTTTCACAATTATCTTTGGGCATGTTGCCTGAATTTGTAGTGCACTTTAGAGATGAAGGTATAACTTGTTGAAATGCTGCTTAAATAATATGTTTCCTGCCATAACCAATCGAGTGTTCTGCAGCATGCTGAAAGTTTGTTCAGTTAAGTGAAATGATCCAGACTTACTGCCAAGGTACAAGGATATCTGGGGGGAAAAAAAGTGATTTAGCTAATAAATATACAATATGTAGCAACTACAAGATGCACTTCTTTGACCTTGTGTTTATTAAGAAGCCCCCATAGTATACCCATTTCAAAAAAGCAACACCCTCAACCGAATACTGCCTGACAAAGGAATCCTGAATTTGAAGCCCATTTAAAACAAAACAGTTTGTATCTTAGCATAGGGTGAGAGAACACATTGCATGACAATTGTTTAAGGTGGAGTTGAAGCCACATAACGTGTTCAGTTATTGTAGAAATGATGGCTGCACAAGACACTTTGGAATAAATAATGTACTTTTGAGCTTTCTATTCAGTCTGTATGTTGCTGATTTTTTATTTACAAGGCATTTATAATCCAATTGGAAGGCAAAATAGTATTAGATAAGACCTCTTATTTATAGTTCTGTGTGACTGTTTTTTTAAATTGAATATTTTTTAAATGATCAGTTAGAATATGTAACAAAAGGTTTCCTATTTAGATGAGAGATCTCCAGATGCACAGTATGTGGATTTGCTGCTGAATCCAGAACGTTACACTGGATACAAGGGCCCTTCTGCTTGGAGAGTGTGGAACAGCATCTATGAAGAAAACTGCTTCAAGTAATTGGGAGGGAGAGGGAGCCTATTTCTTACACCTGCACTTCAATTTAGCTTCAAACTGATTTTTGTGTTTTCTAACTTATTTTCTAGGCCTCGATCTGTCTATCGTCCTTTAAATCCCCTGGCGCCTAGTAGGGGTGGGTCTCGCCTGTTTTATTTTCTAATGTAGTTCTTTTAGCATAGTGACTATTGCAGCACAAGTGATAAAATAGTAATCTGCAGTCTGTAGGTTTGCTTTCTGCTTTTTTAATTTACTGTGTAGAAGTAGCTGTCCATTTTCAATATTTAGAAGCTAAGGTGTTTGATACCTGATTACATACATGCTTAATCTTATGCGCATGAATAGGCTTATTCATGTGAAAACTAGAGTAAATCTCAAACTGTTTAGCAAATGTCATAGTAATTTTCCAGTGTGGATTGGAAAGAGTTAAAGTTCAACAAAAATTTAATCACTCTTGTATTCTTTGCTTGTCTTTTTTTTTCCTAGAGCATTTAATTTAGTCACTTTAGCTCATAGTCATCCTAGTGTAATGTAGCTGTACATTTTCCATCCATAATTAGAAATGTACAAATAATGGCATTACCTGAAGAAAGCGTGGATACTTAGGAAGGCTCAGTTACCTGTAAAGAATGTTTAAAAAAAAAAAAAAGTATGCCAATGACTTGGGTTTTAAGTTTTCAAATTTAAAGTGAAAACTATAACCTGGTGTTCCAAATGTATCAGCTTTACCTTGTCACTGTGTCTTGTTTCACTTAAAAATTAACTGTCAGCCGATAGATTGAGTTAGAAAACACAGCACACATTAGAAAATCAAGATAGCTTTTGGTAATTATAAATATTGATATAATATATTGCTGGTATGCAAAAATGAAAAGAATTGTAAGAGCAGTTTAACTCAGAGATAAGAGTTCCAGAAAGGAGCACTGATCAGATCGTTGAACAATGTGAACTTAAGAAGATAATTTCCTTACCATCTTTCTGAAGCTAAAATATAGCTTTCAATAATATGTAAATCAGCTGCTACTAAGATTTCATATTCTTAGTGACTTTAATTATTGTAATCAGCTTAGTCTCAAGTGGTCTTGAGGAGGAGGCAGAGGATGGAAAGTAGCTTTTTTTTTATCTTAAATAAGGTTTCTTGCACTTTTTCAGTGTTTGTAGTAAAGGCTGTATTTCATTACTACTTTGTTGTGGAAATTATCTTTTTAATGCTTATGGATTTTTTTTCCCCCCTCTAAGGAGGAGATGATGGTAAGTCATCTTTTTTTTGCTTGGCCTGCAGAAGTGAAGTAAGCATTAAGGTTTTGGATATCTGGTTTATTCACTTTATTGCTACTGCATCAGAGGGCAGGAAAGTTATGTTTTTATGCAGATGATTGATCAGAAAATGTTTTTATTGGGATAATTCTTTCATTTAGAGTAGGGGGATAAGTGCAAAATACAGTTCTGTTGTTAGTTCTTATCTTTTTAACAGAACATGTGTTGTGATAATTTTGTTGGCAAGATAACTGGAGATGCATAAATTAAAGGATTCTTGGGTCTCCTCCAGAGACCCATTGATACTGATGTCAGATCTCTTAAAAGAAGAGGAACAGGGGGTTTTGTGTACTTTCTTGAATATCCTGCTTGATTTTGGGAAGGTAGGCAGAAAAAGCACTTGGTCTGTCTACAGTGAGACTGACTTTTAAGATTTTTCAGTCAACTGAAAGCTCTTGGGCAAAAGATCTAAGCCTACAGGAAACCTTCAGACAGGTAGCAGTCAAGGTAAAGGCTCTCAGTTATAATTACACATCTTTCACCACTAGTGCATGTAATCAGGCTTGCACTTTCATACACTTCTGAATGCCCTGACCAGTAGCTTAGTCATGCTCATTCTTGTATTTCTGCCTATTCTGACCCCAAAAGATTTGCGCTAACCTCAAAGTTCAGCCACTTCAGTACCTATTCTCATTTTAATGGCTAAATTATTTAGTTTTATGTCCAGATGGCAGCTAATGTTAGTATGCATAGTAACATAGATATTGTAATGTTGGAAATGAATACTCTTCATTTAACTATGTGCTTTGTATTTACAGGAGAATCTTTCTACACATGGCTAGAAGGTAAAGCCTTTCAGATGGGTTAATATAATGTTAAATTCACTAGAAGGAATGCTGTAGTATCTTTTTCCTATCCCCAAATATTTTTAATGGAGTAGGTTTTTTAATAAATTGTGCAGAACTTTTGAGTGTTGTTCAAATAATATTTTTTTTTCCTTGGGAGTCTTTGGAAATTTTCTCATTCACTTGGTATACTCCTTAAACCCTTCAGTGTTTCATCTTTTATAAGGGGGGAGTTCACTTCAATGCCAGTTACTTTGAATTTGCTGCGCATCTTAGGCATTTAAGCAGGGACATGATTATTAGTAATGTTGCTAAGGTTCTTATTTGAAAACAGCTTTCAAAAACATTGAAGTTTTTGATGATTCTGTTCCCAGCATATAAACTAACATAAGTATAATGTGTATTCAGAAGGCAAAGCAATTTGCTTTTTATTCATATGTAAAAGGAAATTATTATTACAGTGGTGGTGATCAAAATTGCATTTTGGAGGTGTGCAAAAAAGTAAACGAGTTAAATGTACTTCAACTTAGTTCATTCTGCCTTTCATGAGCCTTTACTTGTCTGGTTGGAAGTCTCTAACTGGTGCTGTTGTAGGAAAGCATACAAATGTACATGCTTTTTAAAATGTGATGCCTGTAAATGAGGCCACATCACAGATAGGCTTCACCATCAGCTTTTCCTGCTTCCATTTGTGGAGACTGGAGTGGCCCAGAAGTCGCTCAAACATGTCCTTGAGAAGGGAACAAACTCCTAAATTCCAAGTGTAGTCTTTGTCTCTGGGTGTAAGTGGCATTATAAGTAATTTCTGCATTTAAATTACATTTTGGCCACCCAACGCCATTGTGTTTCTGTTTATGCTGTAAAAGTCTGTGTCCACGGGAGTCATATTTTTCAAGGTTCGGCTTTGTGCATTTAAATCTTCAGTGAATTTACACTAGAGCTGGGGAGAAATATTTTTGCCATTTTCCAGTGCCATAAGGTTTTCTGGGGTTTTTGATGTTTTTCTGTAAAGTCACTTCTCTAATTTAGTGATAGCTTTAGTTCTAGTTAGGATGGGTCACAGCATAGTTCTGGTTTCCAGACTGTAAGAATTCAAGACTATTTCAAATTCATTGCTCAAACATCTTATTTTTGTGTGGCAATTTATCTGTACTAATTGACCAGATACTTACTTGGCTGTATTTATTAAAACACTAAAACACTGACTAAGAAATGTCAGATTTCATTCTTAGTCCTTCTTTATATAAAAAATAAGAGGTGAACTTTTCCTATGATGTATATTGGTGCTTATTAACAATGCTGGAGTACTGTAATTGTAGCTTATGAAAGTTAAATTATGCAGACTTGCATCACTGAAATGTCAAGGTATATTCATTTTAATACATTATTTCTAGTATTTAGTTTAGAATTTGTTTGTCTTTTTTCCTGGACAGGTCTTTGCCTCGAGAAAAGAGTGTTCTATAAACTAATTTCTGGACTTCATGCTAGCATCAACTTGCATCTGTGTGCAAATTATCTCCTTGAAGGTAATTTTTAAGTCTACATAAAACTGCTGAATGGAATTCTACAATATCTATAATATATATTTTGGTTTTTTTTTTTCTGAAAATTTTTAATGTATAAGTTGCTTTCTTTTTCTAAATATGCATGGTTTATTCCCCCTGCCCTTTTTTTTGCTCTGTGTAGAAACCTGGGGGAAACCTCGCTGGGGACCGAATGTGAAAGAGTTCACTCGCCGCTTTGACCCTATTGAAACAAAAGGAGAAGGACCAAGGAGGCTCAAAAACTTGTATTTCCTATATTTGATAGAGCTGCGTGCTTTGTCAAAGGTTGCACCGTACTTTGAGCGTTCAGTTGTTGACCTTTACACTGGAAATGGCCATGAGGATGCTGAATCTAAAGCTCTCTTACTAGATATCTTCAGGGATACAAAGTAAGGCATAAGATTTTTTTATCAATAGTTTGAAATTCTCAGTTATATTCACAAGTGACAATAGATGACTTCTTGATAGAACAGGACAAGAAGGAGGGTGGAATGAGGAGAGGGAACAAGAGTGATTTGTATATTTGACAGGAGATTAATATATTTGAGGTTTGAATATACCAATCTTTAAAAAACACAAAAACCCAAACAAACAAACCAAAACAAAACCCACGCAATATCCTGTGCTACTCCCTGTTCATTGGTTTTTCTGATTCTTCAGTATAATATGCACATGATTTATTTTGAAAAGGAAAATACTACTTGTAGTCTTTTAACATTCCAGAGAGTAATCCAGCTTTTAGCACAGACTTAACCTCTGGGGTTTTAGCCATCCCTTCTTCCTTCTCTTTGCTCTCTACAGTTATTTAGTCCAATTCTTTTGCTAACCTTCTTGCTAATTTTTGTGGTTGATAATGTGCTGTGTGGCTTCATTGCTGTCCCTAGTCATAATCTTGCTAGGTGTTTGAGATGTGGTCAGACAACGATCAGCTGAAAGACAAGCATTAAGACAAGTTCAGTGTGTATTAGAAAGAAATCTTGGTCAGTGGAAATGGAGCAAAGAAAATTCTCAACAAAACTGTAAATAACAGGTTTGAGGTTACAGTGATTGAATACTAAAACTGATATAATTCAGTAATTTTTCTTAAGAGCTATTCTGCAAAGACTAGGAACTCTGAAAATATTTTACACTGATGGCATCAGCTGCTCACCAAGCTTGATGGAGCACTGCAGTTTATATTAACATTTGGGGTTTTTTGTGTTTTGTCTTTATTAGGTCCTTCCATATGCACTTTGATGAAAAGTCCATGTTTGCTGGAGATAAGAAAGGAGCCAAGTCATTAAAGGTAAAGCTAGTTTTCTGGAATTAAGTTGTGTTATTTTAGAAAACCTCTCTACCTATCAGAAGCATACTGCTGAAAAGGCAGGGAGAAAAATTTACAGAATTGTATCTGAGGCCTCTTAATCTAATTTATGGTAAATGAATGTGAGCTGTTGTCCAGGGGTAAGCAGACTGAAATCTTGAGTTTAGTGCCTTGTGTCTGCCATCAGGACTGTGGTGAGGCAAATGAGTTGAATGGGTATTACTAGTAACTGCTGTCCTTTAAATAGATTATTTGTTTCACATAAGCATCCGAAAAAACAGTGATGTTTGTTTAAAAAACAGATGTGTAACATAGTATGGAATAATATAATATAGCATAATATAATACTTAACATTAGAAAGTCACGGTTCCCAGACATGGGAATCTAATGTGAATGCTGCTACTGCCTAGCGACTTCCAGCATTAACAGGCTGGTGTTCAGACTGGTATGCACTACAGTTCCACAGCTGAAGTGTGGCTCAGTACTAAAGGTTTATTTTGATACTTATTAATACTTTTAGTACATGTTTCAGTAGTAGTTTGGAATTTTAACAACATTAGAAATGTGCCAGTAGTTTATCAGCCCAGCTAGTGTTTTTCTGACCTTAGATATTTAATTGAGAGCATCTTAATAAGTTCTGTGCTATGCTTGCTTCCACTCTGACTGAAGCTGCAAAGCAACAATCTACCCGTAGCTTTAGACAGGAAATATATTTTGTGAATTGTAACTTGTTTGCCTGCTTGTCAAAAATGTAGGTTGGTTCAAAAGTGATTTGAATAATGAAAGAAAAATGGGGCAGGAACACAAATACAGTATTTACAGCTCAGAAAATTTTGAGCAAGTTGTTGGAAACTCAATGTACAGAATACAATTACACTGCGTGTTCTATATTTTTGTTTTTTCAAGCCATTAACTATTAGCAATGGAACAAGATTCTGGGTTTACATAGATGTTTATGGCCTGACCACATACGTCAGTGGTTTTGTTCAGTTTTAGTAATAGAGAATTGATATTCTGGTGATGATAAGTTAGTTGACCTTCTGTTTTTGTAAAGCTAAAAGGTACTTTAAGTTAACCTTTTCCATTTTGTTTTTACCTGATAGGAGGAATTCAGGTTGCATTTCAAGAACATATCCCGCATAATGGATTGTGTTGGATGTGATAAATGCAGGCTGTGGGGCAAACTGCAGGTAGAGTGTGTGTGTATGTTTTGCGGAGCGGTTAGGAGATAAGCATCTGTTTCACTTTTGTCAGGATGCCTGTTATCTTAGCATTTAGACTTTCTGCACATGGTTGGTCTTTGAAGTCCTTACCTATATATTAAAAATAGACACGTTTAGTTCACTATTAAACTTTTTTTAAAAATTGTTATAAATTATTTATTTTGCTTAGTCAACAGCTGCTTAGTTTACTAAGAGGTATAGTTTGTATACTATTGGAAAAAAATTTATTTAGCACAGATGCTTCATGGCAAAGTCTTACTGGCAGTCAATATCTTACGGGTAGTCGGTGATCAGGTGAGCTTTGTAGAATCACCTGTGGGAAGTCTTCCTGGAAATACAGCACTTGCTTAATTGCTAGAAAATTCAGCATGAGAAAAATAAGTAATTCAGATTTTTACCATTTATGCAGAAGGCAGCAAATGAATATATGTTTTCTTTAGATTTAGAAACGTCACTGGAACCTGAAGGATTTGGAACCTTTTTTTCACAGGGAAAGTAGAGATGTCATTTATGTGTTACTTCCTGAAAATGTGATCTTTAAGATAACTATAAAATACCTCAAGATGCACAGTGAAGCTGAGATCTGAAAAATAGAATGTCAGTTTCTGGACACCTGTCATTTTTATTTTATTGAGAACAGGATTTTAACCCTCAAGGCTTAATGTGAAGTTGTGACTGAAAATAGTTGCTATTTTGGGGCGCCTGGTGGGGTGCTATATGGCTCTATAGCATTAAGCTGAGAGTTCAGTTTTTAAAAGAAATTCATAACATCAAAACTTTGGTGGTCTCTGCTGAATTTCCAGAGTTCTGCCTACCCTGCCCTAGTTAATGCTTCTGATCTATTATGATTTTTCCTTCTTATGCAAAATGAAATGGGGCCAGATTTCCTGACCTGTGAAATTCTCTTGCAGCCAGCCTCAACCGCCTTGTGTCAAAATCCAGTGGTTGTTTCTCTAGCCTGATTAAAAGGGGAAATAAGAACAGCTCCTTCTGTTCTATTTCTGTATAGAAGACAAGGGTTGAAACTTAAACTGCAATGTCTGCCACTGGGACAGGAGGTGGAAAAAGCAGAAGTGTTGTGATATCTCAGAATAAAGACCTAGTTTGAGTTGGAAGGGGGAGAGGAGAAGAGCAGAGATCTGATCCAATAGCTCCTGCAGCAGTGAGGCATCTGTACTGTAAGCGGGGAGAGGAAACTGGAAGTGTTGTGACAGGCATGTTTTCATATGCATCTTGTGTGGCTGAGAAGAAAAGAGATGGGAAAGGAAGAGATTAAAAACATGAGGGTGAAGATCAAGTATACCTGAGGAAACAAATGTTCTTAAGTAAGTGACTGAACCTAGTGCACAATTGATGACATGCATTTGCATTAGTGTCCTGGTTTGGGTGCAGTTATTTGGGTCGAGGGAATGTCAATATATGAGAATTGGCACTACAGTTTGCCTGGAATAGTAATTTTTTACCTTTTATACTGTTCTCTGAGAGTTCAAAGGAGTGATCTTATTGATGCTAAAACATTTTCTTGTAGACTCAAGGCTTAGGAACTGCTCTGAAGATCTTATTTTCTGAGAAAGAAATACAGAGCCTTCCTGAGAATAGCCCATCAAAAGGTTTTCAACTCACACGTCAAGAAATAGTTGCTCTTGTAAATGCCTTTGGAAGGTAAGTTTTCATCCTTTGTATAGTAGAAAACCAGTAAAACTTCAGTGTCAGCACATAAGGTCTGTGGAAAGATGGTATTGTACATGTAGCTGTAGCTTTTAAAGGCTGAACTATTAGTGATAAACTTAATGGCATCAAACTGAGTATGTGGAGTGCTGATTATTAGCCTTGGTCATCACTGTGTGTTGGGATCCATTTCATCTGTTTATCTCAAATCTCATAAATTCCATCTTGTGAAAGCTGGATTTAAGTCTCCTTAAGCATTAGACTTTGGGTATGTCTCCTCAGTTTTGGACACTGAGTAGAGCTGTTCTACTTTTTTTTAAAATTATTATTTCTGTTATAAATGTGTGTACATCAAAAGTAGTGAAAAGGAAGAAGAATACTTGGAGATTTTTTTAATGCTGTCATTTAGCCCTTGGGCTTTTGTATTTTTGTGTATGATGTGGTTATCTTTTTTAAAACTTTAATTTTGATTAATTTTTTGAAAACAGCAAAAATTTACCCTGTTCAAGTGATAAAATAAAGCATTTTAACAGCTTTAAAAGCTGTGTAGAAATTGCTTTGTTTGTTCATCATTCTAGTTCTTCAGATCTTGAGTATAACAATTGGTCCTGTTTAAGAGAATGTAATTAATGTTTGGTACCTCTGGTTAGGGATTTTTAGGTGTTTAATGAAGTTGAGGAAATTTACAATGTGTCTAAACTTTAATCCCTGTAACACATTATGTAAATATAATGGAGAGTCTTAAAGTAGTGTCTTAGTGAATCTTTGGAACAGAATTGTGTTCAAAAAAATACAAACAAAAAGCCCTCATGGAATATGATGATTTGCACTTCTCTTTCACACTTGACTTACTAACACTTCAGGGGTTTTTGTTTTACAGGCTTTCCACAAGTATAAGAGAGTTACAGAATTTTAAAGTTTTATTACAACAAACTAGGTAATGAAGGCCTTTGCACAACACATTAGCGAAGACCATTTACATGACTGCATTGAGCAGATGGAACTGATCCTTACAGGACTCACATGAACTGATAAAAAGTAAAATCAAATACCAACTTGAATATTTATGTTTAAACTAGGAATGGTTATTAATTAGAAAAGATATTTATGAATGGAATATATAGTTTTAAAATGTGTAAATTATGCTGATCTGTTTATTTTTGAAGTTCTCTGCTCACAGTTCTGTTGTACTGAAACTTCATAAATTTTCTTTATTTCCTTGTCTTTTTGAGACAGTTGTTTTATATGAAAACATACGTACCTCCACCCTGACTTGGCCTGTCCTGAGAGAGGTGGGTCAGCTCTTGCCTCTCCCAGTACTGAGCTTCAGTACATTCTGAGGATTGGGTATGCTGATTCTGGCTGTCTAAAAGAAAAAAAAAAAAGGCAGCAACAACAAAACAAACAAACAAAAAACACAGAAAAGGAAATAAGGCTCTTGTTGAGTTCTGATTTTACTGTAATAATGAAACTTATTTAAAAATAGGAAATTTACTGAGCAGAAAATTTTATTTCATACTGAGCTCCTTTGCATCATGCTGATATCAACATTTTTTTCTTTATGTGCTGCTTTTCAGAATTTCCTTTTTTCTTTAAAATAACCTCTCTGAAGCAGCAGAGTTGGAAGTGACTTTTCTGTAGCCCCTTGGCTACCTGCATTTGCTTGGGGGTGGGAGTAAGGGCAGGGGGAAATAGATGGTCAGTGGAGTGCTGCTAGCTGAAAGCCTCTGTTAGTCAAATTCGCATCTACCCTATTTTATTTTCTAGCTTGTAATCACAAGTTCAGTTTCCAGAAATTGTCTTTTTAGTGTCTAAACTGTTAAAATAACACACTTCAGTCTTTGAGCTGTGGAAACAGATTTGCTCTTTCTGGGTTATGCTTTAGTGCTATGTTAAAAGGTCAGTGCAAAAAGTAAGTAACTTGTTTTTGTAGTCACTTTTAAAAAAAGATGCTTTTTAAAATTCATAATCACACTGACATTTAATACCGCATACTCTATCTATGCAATCCCTAACTGTATCTTCTTTAAAAAGATATTCAGCATAATGAAACGGGTATGTTAATAATGTAACTTTCATAAAATAAGAAATTACTTGTGTATCATTGTCCACAAATGTCAAGGATAACTTAACTTACCATTGTCCAAAACAGAATTCAGAAACAGCACTACTGATTAGTAGCAACCAAATATTGGTTTAAATTGAAAATGAAGTAATTTTTTTTAAACCAGCATCTTTTAAAGTGAAGTTAGGCATTATGAATGTAGGAAGTGCTGGTACAGTGTAGATACATCTCTTGTTTTTAAAAATAAGTCTTCACAAAATAAAGTGCTCTTAAACATTTTTCACCCAACCGGGTATTTAGTGACCTGTTTATATAGTTGATTGTAACTGTATTGGCTTCCATCATGTGGTCCTTTACCGCTGAGATTTTTCTGGAAGCTGGAATATTCTCTGTGTCCTTTGTTTCCAGACTAGACTCAAATTTCTACCTGGCTAGAAATGAGATAGACTATCCTGCTAACACTTGCTATTATAAAAAATACTGTTTCACCAGAAGGGAGACCCTCTTGAGTCAAACTGGGATAAGCTGAATGAAAGAGAAAGAAAAAAAAAAAAAAAAACCCACAAAAAAACCACAAAACAACCCACCCCCACAGAGTTTTGGTCATAGTTGCACCAATTGGCAATGAACTGGTATCTAGTCCTAAATTCCCATTTAAGCCGGTAGAAATGTAACATGGTGTTAGAGGAAGCTGGTGCCAGTCTGGGGCTGTTATGTACTTGCCCAGCAGCTTCTCTTGCCCATGGGCCATTATGTCTGAGCCAAGTCACCACAGGCTTCCTTTTTCCAGTTATCGGAGCAGAGCAGGTGATTTCTATGTGGATTCACCTGGCCTGTTCCAAGCTCTGCACAATGTACTGTGGGATGCAGTGAGCTGCACCCTAGAGTTTATTTTTCTCCAGTAAATTGAAGTGGGAGTCTAGGTAGCTAGCTCAGATGTGAACAGCTGTGTTTGGTAAAGGAGTTACA